AGTAGCAATAATTTTGTATTAAATTTTCTTTTATTCGGATCGTCTATTTGTTAACACAAAGTGTTAACGTTTTCCTCGAAACGAAAATCGTTAACGGCCAGGTATCGTAATGGAAGCGAAAAACCACTGTTGTGGATTCGATCAGGAATCGATGAACACACAACAGAATTGTAGATGGTTTAAATTTGATAGACCAGCGACAATCGTCTGACTATGGAAAAGCCACCACTTTTGGATTTTCGTTAATGTCACAATAATTGGACGAAAGATAAAAATCACATGTTCGACAGTCTTGTGTTACTAGGGATGTCGGATAGAGAAAACAAAGCACTGTGGATAAACAAAAATGAGATGTCGGTATGTCTACTATAAATCCAAAACTTTCAACCGCTTTATCTCAGAGGTGACGCACTCACGACTCGGTACGGCGATCCGCTAAACTCCGTGTCCGTAAGGAGGTACCTGTAACGAGGGGTGAGGGGTCCCCCACTAGCCAACTCGTACGCTTGCCTGCGCCCAACTCGCGCCCAATTCTCGCCTCGCGGTCGGGGGTTCGAGTCCCGCCCGGTTTGTTGTGTTCGCCTCAGTCAGATCGATCTATGAAGCGCACTCTGCCATGCCGTACACAGCATGGAGAGCGGAATACCGCTAGACTCTAATGCGGTTCAAATTCTTCTCAACAAACGTCGATTTTCCCTGTTTGCACGTCGTCTTTTGTGTGTCTCCTGAGTGTCTCCTGGATGTCTGCTAGGTGTCTCCAGAGTGTCTCCTGGGTGTCTGCTTGGTCCCTCCTGGGTGTCTCCTGGTTGCCTACCGGGTGTATCCCGGTTGCGTAGGCCCAGCCAGGTATGAGATATTCGCCGCTCGGCGGCGCGCGTGCCCACTACTCCGCACAACGGCGGCTGTAGCGGCAATAGCGCGAAGCGCGCCGCCGAGTAGCGAATTTCTTATACCTGGCCAAGCATTTGTAAATACGCATCCCGGTTGCCTCCCGGGGGCAGTGTTGTGAAAGATACTCACTAAATCGCTTGTGCCTAATGCAAAGCACGCACGACGCACGAATCTCAGCCACTTGCGAAACTCTACGCACAGCGCAGAACCACTAGTGAAACCACGCGGGTCAATTATTTTGGTGGTTTTTGGAGACATATACCGTTGGAAAGAGGAAATCATGCTCTTTCAGAATAAATAGATATCTCAATTTTTTTGAAAAATGCACTTGCGTGGTTTCGCCAGTGGCTGAGCGCCGTGCGTTCTTACACCAGCGGCTAAGCGTCGTGCGTGCTTTGCATTAGGAACAGATAAAGATACTCGATGCTGGTCGAATTTGTATCTTAAGATCAGATAAAGACACTGCATCGTAAAAGTAACTTGAAAAAAATAAAGATACTGCACAAAGTAGCTCAGATACTTTTTTTAGATACTCGTCCAAAAATTGTCAGAAAAGAATTAAAAAAATACACGAGGGAAAATTAAATATTAAATAGAATACTCAGACTCAGATTGAGTTTCATTGGCAATTGCACAATATCGAGGAATCAGTACTATACAATCTTGAATAAATGGCTACATTACCTTCGAAACAAGGCAGTAACAATAAAATATTTGAAGGCTTTCAAATTAAGTTGGCGTTCAAAACTGTAACAAAAAAAAAATATAACGACCGCTACATCGTTACAACGGACGAAATTTTTGTCCGGAGGGTTCTAGTTTCACGAGTTACTACTTAGGAATCCATAAAAAAATATTTGAATACAAATACATTTTGCGACCTGTAGTTTTTGAATTTTTTAAAAGTAAATTTTTTAACTAGAAATGCTCATCTTCGGGTTTTATGATAAAAAACGACCCTGAAATTCCTAGATCGCTGAGTATCTCAATTATTTCTCAAGTTATTGTGCGGACAGACAAACAAACAAACAAGCGCGCGCACACACACACACACACACACAAACAGAATGGCGCAGCCAATTAACGCGTTACAGTGTTGCCGCTACATCGTCATGTAACGTTAACTCGTGACAGTTGATGCCGCCACCGCACGGCTGATTCAAATAGTGCAAGTGCCTCGCGTCTGCCTGTAGGACGATCGCGCATTTCAGGCGTTTTATTTCGACGTTTCCGAACTTCGAGGGGGGCAAATAATATCTGACAACTCAAAGTATCTGAGATACCGTAGATACAGCAAAAAAATTAACTAAGATAAAGGTAAGATATAAGTCACAAAATTTATCTAGATACCAGTAAAAGATACTCATCAAGTATCTAGATACTGCACAACACTGCCCGGGTGTCTCCCGGTTGCTTTGGCAGTGGCTCCATACCGTCTCGGGTGTGGGCCCTGACTGACTCGCATCGGCCACTGGATGTCTAAATCCGACTCTTAATTAGACACTTTGTAGACATCCGCAATATCTCGCGCGAGTATTGGACGTGTCCCTATCGAGTTCTCGCTTTGTCTGCACTGACCTCTCGTTGTCTATTTCTGAGACATTCTAGAGACACTCTGAAGCCCCCCTTTTTTTTTGGTACGGGGATTTTTAAAACTTGTTTAAGTTTTACATGGATTGTATAGGGATTTCACTTTCATGTGTACACAGTCCTGGCCCTGGCCCCCTTGGATTTGGAACGTTCGCACTAGCGCAGTGCGAATTTCACACTGCATGGAGTGAAATTCAGCCGGTAACGTAGTAGTCAGTAGAGCGTAAAAGAATTTCGTTCCTTATTTCATTCTTCAGAACCTTCTACGAACCGCAAATGAATTAATTGCACCAGCTGTGACGCATGTTACAAACGCGGTGTGAACTGCAACAGTCAACGGCACGAACAGCATGCTGACTGGGCGACCCCACTAAAAAGCCATGGACAGTATCATCGGGCTCCTCTCGACAACAAAGGCAACAAGCGTCATGGGGACACAAAACACAGCCAAGGTCGTGGCAGATACCATGCAGTTGTTGTGTTTCAAAGAAGTAAATAAAAATTCAATAAACTCCACATTTAAGCACATTAAGCCAAATGAACGATACTTTTGATAAAAGGGTTCTAATAACTTTTACCTTTAACATAACAACTGCTTTGCAGCATTAAAACTAAAAAGGCGGCGTCAGGGCATGCCTTTTAGTTGTTGAGAAAAATCCCAACAAGTTTTTAACCGCGATCTTAACAAGTAGAATTTCAGAGATATAGTGTCGTAATTTCAATTTGACGTCAATGTAAGACTTGTTGGCTGTACAGCAGAGGCAAGGCCCGCCCTTTCGCCAAACGACGGTGCCAGCTTCACTTCGCTCCGCAGGCAACACCGTTCGGCAGGGGCCAGACGCGGATTAAGGGGGGGGGGGCGATCGCCCCTCCCCCCCTGTCGTCTCTTGAGAGCCGCCTTAAAGGTAGGCAATTTACGCCACAAAACCCCTGTATGTAGGCAACCGACAGTGCATCGCCCCCCCTGTCAGCCGGACCTTAATCCACCACTGGGCCGGGCCTAGCTGTGGCATTTAGTCGGGCCTGAGGTCATGATGTACGACCTATAAGGTCAAAAAACCTAAGCTTGCGCTAACGTGGAAGCAGATGATATAGCTTCTATTTTCCGAGGGGGCCACCACTCGCGTAATTCTGTGTACAAGTGCCAGGGATTACACCAGTAATCCCTCGTCATCTCGCGTAATCTCTCGTAATCTCGCGTAATCCCTCGTAATCTTGTGTAATCGCGCGTAATCCCTCGTAATCTTGTGTAATCCCGCGTAATCCCTCGTAATATCGCGTAATCCCATGTAATCATGCAGTAAATCAGTGCAATCGCACGTCAAAATGAGTGAAGTCGCACGCGGTCAGCGACTACTGCGCCTTGCAGATAGGCAACCCATCTTACACACACATAGGTAGGCAACACGTTGGCACGCCCTGCAGGGGCTGTCCTTCTACTCATCACGAGCGTCTGACCTGATCGCCCCCCACAACTCGCTCGCCTCCGCCTCGTTTAGCACCATCGGGGATACCACCGGCCACTTTGTTGTTGGTAAGAGTCTTGAATTAAGTTTAATTCGCTTGTTTTGTTAAAAAAGTAGTTGATGTCGACGAACCTCCAAGCATTTGAATTTGATCAGCTTAGCCTGTCAGTTCATTTGACATCGGGCTGGAGACAAACGGAACGGACGATTGGAGGCCATCAACCACTTCCTCAGTCGGTTGTGTTATTTTTTTAAAATGTACTTTTCACTTTGGAACAGTTTTGTTTTTTGGAGTGATAACGTGTTTTGTTATCGATAGTGCTGTCATTATGACTTTTATTGTGTCACGTACGCATACGTCTATTGACACTCTTCTGAAAGTTTTACATAACCTTAAACACACATGGAATTTAGATTTTTTTCGATTACCAGAAATTACTACTATGTCTTTGAAAAGTTGACTTATTGTAAAAAAAAAAAAAAGTGAAAACCTGTTTATTTTGTTTCGAACTTAGTTTTTCAATTTTTTGTCATATTTTTTGATAATTATTTGTTTTGGCAGACCATGGGGCTGGAGGTGCAAGACGGTCAGGATCAGCCGGGTGCTACAGCACAATCTAATGGTGAAAAAGTAAGTATATAAAAAGGAAATACCTATTGCAGATAGCCCTTCTTTATTATGTTTGAAACTTAAGTTAAATTCTAGATGTGAATCAGGGATACGTCTCCCCATAACCATATGCCCACCTAATCTTTTCCGCCACTTTTATACTTCTAGAAAATAGAGTACTTTTCGAAAATATTCTTGAGTGCCTTATTCATTAGATTTG